TGTTGTGTGTCAGTAGTCTAGTCTGTTGTGTGTCAGTAGTCTAGTCTGTTGAGTGTCAGTAGTCTAGTCAGTTGTGTGTCTCACCATGTCCGGGTGTAGACAGACAGAGAACCAGGATCATGGAGGACCCGGACAGTCGACGGGTCCTCGGGCAGTGTGCACCGTGTGTGATCGTCTGTACCGGGACCCGAAGCTGCTGCCGTGTCTCCACACCTTCTGCTCGGACTGTATCGGGCAGCTGGAGCCTTTCTCCCGGTCTCTCTCCTCTCTCAGCCCGGGGCAGGAGGAGGACCGAGCCGCCGTCACGGTGCTCTGCCCGGACTGTGACTCCGAGGTGGACCTGCCTCCCTCCGGACCCTCCGGCCTGAGCACCGACCACCTGGCGCTGGACGCCGTGTTCCTGGAGACTCTGGTGACGGACCGGCCGCTGAGCTGCGACCTGTGCGGGGAGGGAGGCTCCGAGAGCCGCTGTGAGGTCTGCTGCGTTAACCTGTGTGAGTTCTGCTGCCAGGCCCACAGGTACTATCTGCTATACAATATAATATTCTATATTTATCTATTCTATTATATTCTATTATGTTCTAATGTCAGACCCACAGGTACTGTCTGCTATACAATATAATATTCTATATTTATCTATTCTATTATATTCTATTTTATTGTGTTTTAGTATCAGGCCCACAGGTACTGTCTGTTATACAATATAATATTCTATATTTATCTATTCTATTATATTCTACTCTATTCTGCTCTGTTCTATTCTGCCGCCAGGCCCACAGGTACTGTCTATAAAACTTTATCCTATTCTACTCTATCATATTCTGTTCTGCTCTACTATTAGAATAGATATAGTTCTATTCTATATTGAACTGTTCTACTCTATTCTGTTCTATATGAAACAGCACAAACAACATTTTGTTCAAATGAAGCATACATCATACATCACTGTTTATTTTTCACTGTATTTAATTTCACATTTCCTAAGATGTTGTTATCAAAGAAATTGAATTCAGGTTCGATATTTCCCAGTTTCACCATGAACTTTATTTTAATCTCTCACCTGCAGGCGTCAGAAGAGAACAGCGTCTCACTCCGTTCAGCGTCTGGAGGAGCTCAAGTCTCGCGGTCGTCTCTGCCGCCCCGTCCTCTGCCCCCTCCACCCCGGCCAGGAGCTGCGGCTCTTCTGTCGGCCCTGCGACCTGCCTGTCTGCCTGGACTGTGCCGCCACGCTGCATCGCGACCACCGCTGCTGCCCCACGCATGATGTCATTCATCGCCATGGAGACCGCATCCGAGAGCTGGTCGCCGGGCAACTGCGACCTCTCCTGGAGCGTCTGGACCAGTCACTGCAGAAGGTGAATTTTCCCACTGCGACCAAAGTTAGTCTTCAAAACATCCTCAAGAGGTTCCTATCATATTTTCTCCCTCTCCTACAGGTGGAGGTTTCCCAGGAGGCTCTGCAGGCACGGGTGGAGGCGACAGCCAATGAGGTGAGGGCGTTTGCACGAGGCTACGCCAGCGCTGTGGAAGCTCACTGCCTGTCTCTGCTGCATCGTCTGGAGGAGCTCCGAGTCCAACGCAGGTGACAACCAAACACGTGCAATCGAAAACTTTGTTCATCGAGCAAAAACATCAAGTTAACTTAAGATTAAACTCTCGACAAGGACAAGCCGAACGTTCACTGTGTGATTTTACTCAAAGTCCGACTCAAACTGTACGAGTAAAGAGTCTGAGATTGAAACCGAAGCTCAGGATTTATGTGCTGAATCAATTCAGAATCAAACGGGAGTCAGCAGATAGAGTCTGTGACGACTGAAGAGTGTGAGATGTGGTTGTTTGCTTGTTTCTGAGGTAAAAAAAAGATTATAACAATTTGACACCACTGCCTCCTCTCGCTCTGAGTTTGTTTGTGTGTTTGTGCGACAGGAACCAGCTCCACCTGCAGAGAGCTCAGCTGAAGCAGACGCTGCTGGACGTCCGAGGCGGCGTAGAGTTTGCGGAGAGACTGCTGGGCTCCGGCTCTGACGCCGAGATCCTGAGCGCCAAGGGAGTGACCCTGAGGAGACTGATCAGTCTGGCGGAGAGCAGCTACGACCCGCACCCGGCAACCGTCGCCCCAGACGACGGCAGCAGCATCTGCTTCGTGCCCGGGGAGCCGGCGGGGGAGGTGGAGGGCTACCCGGTGGTTGGGGTCATCAGCGCTAAGACAGTGGACCTCAGCAAGTGCACCATTGAAGGGGAAGGTGTGTGTGTGTGTGTGTGTGTGTGTGTGTGTGTGTGTGTGTTTTAGAGTTGAGGGGGGAGGAGTTGGGGAGTTGATGACTGACTCTGGAGCAGATGTCGTTATCTTCCCGGGTGTTTTGGCTCAAAGACAGAAATTCTTTTGGGACTAAAGGAATGTTGAGGGGACTCAACAAGCCTGAGGGCCGAGCGGGGTGGGGGCGGGGGGGGTGTTTACACACAACAAAACACACACAGACACACACACACACAGACACACACACACACAGAGTAAATGAGAGAGAGGAAGTAGAATCCAGAAGTGACTTTGCAGGTGGCTACAGGACATTTTCACGCCACATGAATTATTTCTTTAAAAAAAGATAAAAAACAAACTTTACCTGGATTGAAGGTGAAATTCAAAAGTCAAACTGTCGCTCCAGCATTTGTTCTTGTAGAAGAGCTGTCAGTGAAGGTACCCAGGCCACACGCAGCTGATTCACACACAAAGACATTAACTACAGGAGGAAGATAATTCATTATAGCACTCAATTATAAAACAAGGACACACGTGTAGTTACCACAGTTTCACAGTTACTGCTTTATTTAGTTTTACATACAACAATAAATATCTTTGATTGGATTGAACAAACCATTTTTTTAAAATATTTTTTTTAATCATTTTTGAGAATTGGACATTAAGACAAAAATAATTAGATAATTTGAAGGGGAGTCAAACAGAGCATTCATCCCTTCATTTCATTTCACTATTGACTTTTGGACTTGTGTTTCTCAAGTCTTGAATCCGCAGCGTCACTGCATCTGCTGAAGCATCTGTATCTCCGTTTAATTTGTTTGCTCCGTTCAAGCAAACTTTCTCACCAGCTGCGTCTGGCTTCATTTGCGGGGGGGTGGGGGGGCGGGTCAGGGTCAGATCTGTGCAGTATGTTGACGATCAGAGAGAAATCACAGAGGCTTACTGACGATTATCCCCTCGCTGCGCGCTGAGAGGGTTTGAAGTGGTGGATTTGGACGACGAGGCCAAGGCTCACAGGTGAACCGCGGTCCGGGACAGCTGGCTCTGTAATGGCGACAGCTGCTGGTGCTCGGGCTCAGGAAGCGCACAGACATGAATTCACAGATAGTTCACACCCATTAGCAGCGGCGGTGGCGGTATGTCACAGTGTTTCTAATGGTAGCACGTTAGCAGTGGCATATGGTCACAACTGCCGTGTTTAAATCCTGTGTTTTAAATAAATGTTCAGAAAAGAAATCATCATCTAGAAAGTGTGAAAGTGATGAAACTAGAAATAATGAGGTCACTGTGACCTTTGACCATGATTCTCTCAAGGCGTTCTTAAGATAGAGATTTGTGAGATCACAGTGACCTTGACCTTTGACCCCCAACCACCAAATTGTAATCAGTTCATCTGTGAGTCTGAGTGAACGTTTGTACCGGATTTAAAGGATTTCTCTGAAGAAGTTTTTGAGATATCGTGTTCACAACCATGGGACGGACGACCACAACGCCTCCACCTGTCCATAGGTGTTTTTCTGAAAAGTGAAAGATGAGCTGGTGTCTTTCCTCTCGTGTTTTCATGAGTCTGAAGTTATGTGTCATGGTAGAGTGTCTTACTGATGAAGACATGTTTTTGTAGTTTTGTGTAGAACGTGACAGCAGCCGTGTTTCATCACTCATCCTCGCCGCTGCTGTTCCTGGTGATAAATCTCTGCTGTCGTGTGTCGAGCCTTCACGGACGAGAGGAGGTTTTTATTTTTGGATTGAGACGTTCAGCAGTCACTCAGCTGTTCGGCCATGCGGTGCACTCTTTCACTCTCTTGCTCGTGGATCCGTGTGACCTCTCGCCTTTGACCCCTCGTGTTCGCAGGTCTGCAGCGAGGCGAGGAGGGCGAGCGGGGTCACTTCACGCTGGTGTGCCGAGACTCCGCCGGGGAGCAGGTGGCACGAGGCGGAGAGCACGTGCTGGTCAGCGTCGTCCACAAGGAGAAGAAAGACTGGTGAGCGCTTTGTCGTAACGTCCAGGTTCAACGGGAAAAACCTGAAGGATTGAAAATCACACGAAGGTGAAGAGTTTGTTGAGTAATAACTTGTTTGTTCGTTTCAGCTCCGTGGAGACGACAGTGGTCGACAACAGCGACGGATCGTACAGCGTTTCGTTCACACCTGAAGAGAAGGGAACTTACTCGGTGTGGGTTTGTGTCCGAGCTCAACACGTCAAGGTAAAAATATCAACTCAATACCTTGTCAAAATAAAACACGAGGGGATTAATCCGTGACCCTTTTGATTTTGATTTTCTTAAAACACTTTGCTTCTTAAAATGGTTTTAATCTGAAGCTCAGTACTGTTCATCATCCTGTCGACGTGACAGCTCTGAAAGGTCAAGTCCAAAAAAATCCATATCGCCCCCTGGTGGCTGGCTGCAGTATAGGTCATAAACCCGGCCTCCTCCATGTTAAGAGATGGGACGTGGACCAAACCACAAAGTCAAAGAACACGTTGAATAAAATGTTTTTTTTATTTTTAACTAGTTCTTTTCTTGATGAACTGTTTCAAGTTATTTGATGCCATAGAAACAGGGTGATGATTGACAGCTGACAATCATGACTGCTGCTCATACGGCCGCTGACTGACTCCCTCCTCTCCTTGTGCAGGGTTCACCGTTTGTTCTGAACGTGCGGAGGAAGATTTGGCGACACAGCGGGACGTTCCACTGCTGCTGCTTCTGCTCCAGCGGAGGAGCCAAGGAGGCTCGATGTGGCTGCCCAGGAACCATGCCAGGTACACGGAGGACATCCTGCTCGGAGGGAGACTGACTGAGGCTTGATATTTTACAGTCGAACCTCAAATTTTATTTTAAGTAACTATAAATAAAAAGAAAACTCAAATACATAGAACTTGAACATAAATGCACATCTCCTGTAAACGCTGTCAAGCAGATGAAATCCCTCAGGCTACAGTTTCTGATCTTCTGTCCTGATCTTGCAGGAGGATTCAAAGGCTGCGGACACGGTCATAAGGGACACCCCGGGAAGCCTCACTGGTCGTGCTGCGGCAGCACCGCCGAGCAGTCCGAGTGTTTGCCTCCGAGCGTGCTGGCTGCGGCTTCTCCCCGCGGCCACCTGCGAACCGTGGAGCTCTGAGGTGACGCGGAGGCGAGGCCTGTCGAGATGATGCAAGCTAACGGAGGGTGGCGGCAACGGAAAGGTCAGAGCGGCGGGGGGGGGGGGACGCGCGGGAGAGGTACCTGGTGTGAATCTTGAGTGGGTTTGAAAAGAAAGTGATGTTTCAAAGATACAGTGACTGAGGCAGAACGTCCAGGTCTGTGTCTTTGACCTCCGTCCTGATCTGGTGTCACAGACTAAAGTGAAGCGTTTGGATTGTTGACCCTTATTAATATGAACTATCTTATCTGGAGACACTGAGCTGGAAGAGTCGGTTTCCTCTCCAGCACTGACCATGAACACAAACCTCCCACAGCCACTTAATGCCTTCTCTGTATCGTTTGAATCTGTATCTGTAGTGT